AGCCACAAAATATTATCGAAATGTACTAAAGTCATCTGTCTTGCTGTTTACTAGACTATAAGGGAACCAATCTCCAGGGCTAAGGAAAGTATGTCGAAAGAGTCTCCATCGAGCTGTGTATACCTTAAAAGCTAAGGAGTATCAATCTCAAGGGATAAAAAAAGTAAGCCAAAAGTAAAATAACGGTACGAAATTATTGTTTAACCACTTCTCATTTTCACCAAAGGGGGAAAAGTCGGCTCTTGCTTTGAACAAGACTTCCCACATGCGATGAACTGCAGTGACTTTCTTGTAGTTTCTGCATTCAACTTGGAAACACAAAAGTTTTCGCAAGTAAGTTTATGAAGAAGGAAACGACAACAACAACAAAAAACAAAATAATTGAAGGAAATAAAAAGTAAAACAAAACAAACACTGCAAAAAGCAGTACATACAAGAGGGAGCCAAACAAGTACTCGTAAATGCAGTTGGGAAATAGATAAAATCATTAAAAAGTTATTTTTACCGCGCTGCAGTGTTGCTCCAGCAATTGCCGGCGATGAGGATGCTGGCTGAAAAGTAGGTGAGGATTGAGAACAAAGCGAAGCACGAGGAGTGCGAGGTCACTGAGCGGAATAGGTCAACAACAATAACAATACGAGCGAACCGCAAAAGCAATAATAAATAGTAGAAAAATGACGAAGCGTGAAGCGTTTGGATGATAGGAACGTGTTTCACGGTGGGGAGAACGCGAAAACTCGAAAAAGGTGAAACCTTACAAAGCAAAGATCTCATTATTCGCCGCGGCTCTTAAGACGACAGTAGTATAAGTTAAATCAAAGCGTGCAAGCTGCTCTTGTAGCGTGGCGGCACTTGAGTGCGTGCGAGGAAAGCTCAAAGGCGCTAAAGCTTTGAAGTTTGTTGCGGTGACCACATGTCTCGTGTAGTTTGCGCGACCTCAATGGCAACTTTGAGGGAGCAGTGACAATGCGGGAGACACAAGTAGATGAAACTCGAAGAAAATTAAGAAGAAATGTGTATGGTAGAGATGCTTGGGAGAAAATCTTCCAATAGTTGAGGAATTGCAATAGAAATACGAAGTGGATAATATCTAATATGACAAGTTTAAGTAAAGCGATCGGTATCTACTAGTTATCTAGTAACCTCCGTCTTGAAGAAAAGAAAAATCCATTTTACCTTCCGCAAAATAAAGAATCAAGCACACCATATAACCATGTCAGCTAATAAGCCTCCTGTGGTTAAGAGGTGGAACATATGTTGAGGTTTCACTCTGAGAATACTTGCTGCGGGTGAATTCTGAACCCTTAACCCGCAGCGGTACGATAGGGGTGACCGCCTCTGGAGGTGAAAGGTATCTTTGCGTTCTCTGTTTTGCGAGGGTCTCTCAACTGCTTGGTGTCAGCGGCAACATAACAAACTTTCGAGGCTTGTAAGATGACATACTCTTGTTGTTGCTCATGTAACCGTCAAGTCGGCCACTACTTTAAATTGTAACAACAAAAACCTCATCTTAGTGGCATTGACGCGCTGCTGAGTTTAGGTGTACCGGCTTTGGCGTTACATGTCTACAATGTTGCAAGTGTAGTTTAGCCATTTTTACGATTACGTATATATATTTATATATACAATTATCAATATACATACTCGTACAGAGCGACTAAAGCTACTTGCGTCATTTGTAAGTTTTTTCTAGACAATATTGCAAGTACTTTGTTGTTTTTCCCATATATTTTAGCTATAGGAAAAGCTCAAGTGCATTCAACTTATATACACAAACACACACTTACATGACATGCAATCAACAATGAACGACAAATACCCAGAGGGGGGCAGAAGTGTAAAGTTCAAGACATAAATGCTTTGTTTTCTGTAAATATGCATGTATATATGTATATATATATGAATGTGGCAGCATGGAAATGCATGGGGCATGACACCTAAATATATAGCACATCTTATTATTGTTATTTCTTTGTCTTCTTATATTCTGTTCTGTTCTTTTTTTGTGGTTTATTGTTTTGGCTTACTAATGAGCAGCATATTTTTGGATGTGAGTGTGTGAGTATGATGCTCAGTAGGGCAGTAATTAGTGTAGTCAGCATGTGAGCGGCCTTGATGTGCAGAGGAGTGATGATTATGAAATTTGTATATGGATAAAAAAAAATAAAAAAAATCATTTTTTCTAATTTAAAAAAAAAAAGATTACCCAATTTATTTTATTTTAGCAAATTTAATATATTTTCAATTTTAGTTTTGTTTTATTTTGTTTACTTTTAATCTATCATAATATATGCAATTTACTTCAATTTATTTTTGTTTTATTTTAAACTTATTTAGTTTTATTTCTTCTTATTTTCATTCTTAACATACTCAATGCATATATTTTGTTGTATCAATTATTTATTTCAATTTAAATTTGCCTCGAATTGCTTTAAAGTTTTTTGACACGCTAGGGATAATGGGAAGAAAACAGCTGTGCATTACCATAGTAACGGCACATCAATGCATGAATGTGAGCTCAAATGGCGTTGTCAAGACACGTGCGTGGCTTTTGTAATGCAAATTAGATCGCTAAAAAGGGAGAAAAGAATATCAAACAATGAAGATATTATTTTGCTGATTTAGGTGAACGCACATTTCAGTGGTTACCAACATCTGAATGAACTGAATAAATACCTAATAATGAATTATGAAAAAAATAAAATAAACTGAAAAATAATTTAAAATTTCATATAATTTTCTTTCTGTATGCAATTAGAAATTGTTTTCAAATATAAAGTCTTGTCGATTTTCCAACAATTGAAATTCTGACGTCACGAACTCTTTCCTGCCTCAATGCTTTGTGTTTGTAAATAACTTAAACCACTTGAATGAAGAAGAAAATATATATATGTGTATACATACATACATATATTAAAAATTACGCAAACACTAAGCAAACAAGTGTCTATGAGTAAGAAGTTGAGAATCTTGAATTATCGATTAAACAACAACCATTATTATAAACACAGCAAAAAATAAATGACGGAACTGAGTAAATATAAATATATTAGAGCCAATCAATTCTTCCCTGCTTGAAGTAAATCCGTTTTAAATAGTGAACTCACTCACATGTAACCCAGACCTTATTCACTGACATAAAGCAAATGTAAATAAAAATTTTATTGTAATTTCACATTCACAACGAGAATCGCGGGAATTTTAATTGGTCGTAAATGTGTTGGTGAGTGCGCTTATGTGCATGTGAAAACAACAGCAATAAAATTTAGAATAATAAAATTGACCACATAATTAAATTAAGACAATCAATTTAACAGCAGAATGAGGAATCTTAAAAACAACGAGTAACAAGTAGTTGGCAACGCTGACGCTGACATCTACATTCGTACTTGTACATTTGCCGCTATGATGAAATTAATACGAGTAGCGTCGCCGTAAATGAGACTAATTAGAAATGCAATGCGACTGAAAGTATGTGCAATGGAAGGCAGGAAACAAAAATAGTAAAAAGAAAAAAATCACTTCAAATAAAAAGGAAGAAACAAAAATAAAAACTATTTATTAATTGAAACCTTTTTTGCTGTGTGCGGAAGTGACAGCAGCTGTTAAGAATACTGGATTGTGATGCGAACACTGCAGATAATGACAAGAAGAACGCATACCCAACAATACTACAACGACATAAAAGCGTGTAAAATTCGTTGTTAAGATGAGAGGCGGCAGAACGGAAAATATAGGAACATATTCTTTCAATGCCGCCGATAGATAAATGACTAGATCCCTTTACAACAATCATCTTTTAATTAGAATTCAGTTGCTTTTGACTTTGATATAAGAGCTGTACGGAAACCAAGTTGGAAGCCGAAGGAGTATTGAGAAGTTAAGTAAAAAATTTAGCTGCTTTGTATTGGCTTTGAAGCATTCTTCGAATAAAAAGTATGAAAAATGAGATTAGTAAGAAATAATTAGAAATTTCAAATACTAAAGACATAAAAAGTGTAGTGTGGTTAACTCTTAGAATAGTAGGCAGTAGCAAAAGGATAAGTCTAAAGAAGGATACTCTCAAAGAAATTGAAAAATTTAAAAAATAACGTTATAGTGGTGCTCTTCTTCATATGAAAAATCTAAATCTAAAAATTATATATATATGTATATCTAAATGCGTGTATTTACATGTATTTACACATACATATGTATGTACATATGTTTTCCTACTGTTATACCCACAGGATACTCAATTCCTTGGAGAGCACGCATACATTTTATACTGTCAAGTTTAGGCGTTCACCGCACGTCAAAAACAGTTGTTTCGCTAATGGCAGCTGACAAGAGTGCTTTGCAGATTTAGTCGAAGCAAAGAGCGAAAGAGAGCAAATTTTCAAGAGTGAGTGGCATAGGTAAAGAGTTGCCTTCGTAGCTGTTCACAAAGGTTTAGAGTAACAGCGAAAAAGAGCATCGTAAGAGACCAATTGAGCTGATATGGCGAAAAAAAGCATGGAATATTTTTTCTGCCTACAATGGCCATGCTTACTTATATTGAGATTTGCTTCAATACATTCCGAGTTTAAAAATAAATTTAGATTTACCAATGGAGCTTTGGAGTCATACAGAGGGGTGTAAGGCAAAAATCGGCACAAAAGATGATATTAACACCAAAGGAATATATGAAGCTTTAGCTTTAAAAACTTAACACTGGAAATCGAAATTCGAAAAAGGAGGAAGACATGCTTTTATGCTACCGAAATAAAACCAACTAATTTAAATTTAATTTATATTTTACGCAAGGTAACCGAAGAAAACGGCTAGCCAACAAGTAATCCAACAACTACACAATCAACCGAAATGAGGGAGGAAATTGCGGCTGACTAAACGTCCACGCGACTCAGAAACACATTTCGGTTTGGCAAGCAAACGAACAACAGGTGTTTCAAGCATAAAAGGAGAAAACACTAACAAAACCACAAACAAAACAAAACCAGCAACAAACAGTACAAACCCACCTTCGTAGCTTTCGGTAGCCGGTGTAAGTGGTCAGCAGTCAGCAGTCAGCAGTCGGCGTTGAAGCAACAAATAGGCATGAAATTAAATATTTATGGTGGAAAGAGGTCATTGAAATGCCATATTTGTATGTGAGAAGGTCTATGTGCAGACTTACGTGTATTTGTTGCTATGTGCTTGCTTAATTAGAATGTAGTAAGACTTTTGAGGAAGCTCTGGCCCAGAACTCTCTTTCTTTCTCTCTCTAACCGCTTTTTTCATTTTTCTGTTAAGATTAAAAGTCGAACATTTCAGCTCGTTTTGTAATTCTTAACAGATTTGTAAAAAAGTGCTCTTTGCATGAAAGCTATAATTTAAATCGAAGTTGAAAAGAAAAATTAATATCTTTAAATACCGTAAAAATAAAATATACAATAAGTACCTGCGTCTAACCATACTCAGCTCCAGTTTCGGCTCATCCAAGCTGAATGAGCAGCAAAATCACACAAAATAATTAAATAAAATTAAAACAAAAAATGTGTAACTGACTTGGCTGACAGACAGCGAATGACGTAAAAAGGAGGTGAAAAAATCAAAATAAATTAAATAAAAAGTAAAAATACCACTCGCATGCAATCGATGAAAATATGTAGCAACAAATGCTCGACGCGTCATGACGTTTGGAACGATGTAACGGTACATTTCGTCAGCTGGGACAGGTGTTATGCCTTTATATATTTTTTTTTTGTGTTATTATAATATTTGTGTTATTGTTTACATTAGCTCAGTACATCGGTCCCTCGGCTAGCGCGATTGTTTTCGAATACTTTTTTTCCTTGCCGATGGCGTGCATTTTTGGGTAATTGAATTTGAAATTAAAGTTTGCGCCCGTCAACCGGATTGGCAGCGACTAGTGAAGACGAGGCGTGTGTGGGAGTGAGAGAGAGAGAGAGAGAGACGGAGATGGAGAGGGAGGAAGAGTGAGTTTCAAAAGTATTACAACAACTGCAAAAGCAGCGAGGTGTGTGAAATAATGACTGGGTGCACTGAAACACCGAGCAGACACGTGGTAAATATGACAAGCAGTGGTCATGGTGGCGGCGAGTCTAGCTCGTAAATATAAAATACATGAAAGTACGCCCATTCAAAAACTAACTATGTACATATGTGCAGCTAATCAGATAGGTAAAGAGTCGTGTATAATTAGGTAATGCATGGTATTTTGTACTACTCCCTCATAGGTTTCGCTGATTGCAATCGCATCGGTTTAACGAAATGTAATTGGCGTGTTACAAAACGGAATACTTATTAATTATCATTTCTTTGGTGGGGTTACATAATATGAGTAAAAAAACAAATCGAAAAATTATCGCCAATAAATAAGTGGCTGTCTAGAAAGTTTGCTAGCCACTTCGAGTATTTCCAAGCTGAGGAAATTGGAGATAATTAATTAAGTTTATTAATTTTATATTATGTAATTCACAGTGCTGGTTTGACAAATACCAACGATAATAAAAGAAATAAAAAGAAACAATTGTGGAGCAACGACTTTGGCGACCGTTTCAAGGACTTTCAAGGACGTCTTTGATTTTAGGGCATTCAGTACGGTTCAGTCAAAAATTTGTTTCAACCATTTGCTGGATGGTAATAAAATACTTCACAGAACAGACGAGCTGTCTGCCCTGATTGCAAATTAGAAGGAAATACTTAGTTCAGATAGCTTTGTTGGGTAATAAGTGACTTAATAAAACCTGCACTGTTTGGGCTAATCACAGGTAACACAGAGACAAGGGCTCTCTCGAAGAATGCTTTCATAGTCGAAAGTGATACAACCATAATCGGAGGTAGAAGTCCAAAGCTTTTTCGTAATGGGATTAGAATTAAGTAGGGTAAAGTAAAAGCAAAGTCGCTTTAGTAGTTGCTCCCTAGTACTTGCATTTACATATTCTTTATGCTCAAGCATTGAGTTTACATTACATTAGTTCTTACATTTACTGCACGCTCCAGCATTTTTTTATGCACTTCCATTTTAGTTTTTTTGTCTTACCTTCTTCAAAAGTCCCGAACGAACTTAACTCGTGCGTAATGCACTGTCACATTTATTTACATGTAATTTGCGTTAATTTTGCACTCGAGCTATAAGGATATTCCACCTTTGGTATTCTTTTCAATATTGACTTAATTTATTACGGCGGACAGCTCGCTTCCGTCTTATTTTCCTTTCACTCGCTTATCCTCGCCATTATTCTGTATCCATAATGCACCTTAATCACTGTCAAGCTTAACATACATACACAATCAATACCTCAATCTTTTTTGTGGTTGCCAAGCAAAAATGCGAAGGATGGCAGAAACAGTGTCATATTGACCGAGTCGCCGAGAGCCAAACACCTTCAACACAATACACCACGGCGCAACACAACCTTCAATTCTCAGTCCTCAGCTGTGCGGCCTCTTGTAGCGCTCTTAAACTGGCAGGTCCTTGGCGGAATGCAACAAAAAGCTTTACCTTAACCTCATTGTTTGTTGTTATTTCTTTTACTTAAGTATTATTACGCGCTGCTGCTTTATTGTTGCTCTGCTTGTTTGCTTTTATATTACCGCTACAGTTGTTGCTATTGTTGTTGCTGTTGGTATTGCAATTGTACTGATTGTTGCTGACGCTGTTGCATTATGCAAATTGCTGCAGCTTAAAAAATGTCAGGCAGGCAGAAAAAATAATAAAAGAAGACGGAAAAAAGACAAAAAAAAAAAAAAGAAGAAAGGGCGACGCGTCCAAGTAAAGCAAGAACAATAATGAAAAACAAGCCGGAGTGGGATGGGAGGTTGAGTTCGGAATCCCTACAAATGAATTAAAACGCAGCTGAGTGGTTCTAGACCTGAATGGGTCTTGCTGGCTAGTTATAAGTTAGTTGGTGAAAGAAGTCGTTAGATCAGGGAACCATGCCCAAGCCTACTGGCCTGTTGGCATACCTATGTTTGACCTGTGACCTGTGTAGTAGATTCCTCTCACTTTTTCAAATGTCCAAGCAAGTTGGTGTACCTAATAAAGTTTAGAGGATGCAATCTCTGCAAGGCAATCGAGGTAGTAGTGCCGAAAATATGATAATGGGCCGGGCTGATCATTTCATTTCTCTTCAAGGGATTTCTCCTGCACTGACGGCAGAAGTCGTTAGAGAAGCAGCCCATTCTTCTGCTATTACACCGGTTGTTATGCACCGGTTGTTATGCTTATGGAGGTTCTGTTTAGAAGTAGTGAAGACCTAATTCTTTCCTCTTCGGTAAAAGGCAAAATTTGTCTGGTGATATTGTAAGTGATTTTGCTCTGTCATCTGTTCTTGGTCCTTCTGGTAAAGGTTAGTTTTACAGATTCCTTTGCCGAGGATAGAGGTAAGCACACGTCCTGCTAGCCAGCTCGTTGGCCCAGCATCGCTCAAGGTTATCGCAATCTTACAAGAGATATGTCTTAGTGTGGCTAATAATGCAGACGCTTCATTGTTTCTTCCATCCAACTACCCCACCCTCAGACTAGTCAGCCAATGTGGATCAGAGCCGAGAGTACTCCTGGTTTCCTCTGAATTTTGAAAAAAGTCTCTTGAGTGTTCTTCCTACTTTTTCTGGCTTAGACAAATTTTCCTAAAGTTATTAAAAGCAAAAAAAAAAAAAAAATTTGTCAAGTTTGAAAAAAAATAAATAAAGAAAGTGTAATTTCATGACTGTCGTAAGTTGTTGTAGAGAACGATTCTCTCTGTTGGAGGTCTTAATGCCATTTCAAGGCTAACAGCAACGCAGATTGGTGTGGATAAAGCTAACATGGATGTGTCATAGGCTGAGTACACGGTTATTTTTTGTGTTCAGACCAAAAGAGTGTTCTATGTTCATTTTGGAGACTTTCGCCGAGTTTTTTTTTATGAATAAAGAGAGGGAGATATTTATTTTATCTGACACTCCTCTCTTCCGCTCTTGGTCTAATCGTAGCCAAGATGTTTGGTTTCTCTGGTTATCCGATAAATGATCTACAAATCACTCCAGCTAAATATGATTCGTGATACGGAGTATAGTCGGCATGAGTCGTAAGAGACTAAGAATGAATACCTACTGGCTTATTCAGCTAGGCAATTGCAATTTGAAATCATCGCTCCATATATGCTTATGTGTGTAATAATGAACTTTTTGAAAGACTTTAATCTTTCTTTAAGTATCTGTTGAAGACTCTCATATTCTTTCTTCATTTTGAATACGAAAATATCCTTTTACTTCAATCGTTTCTCACAAGTTCTCTACTCAAAACACAAACTCTTTTGCTTATACACATACTCGTATATCTGTATATTCATCACACTGCAGTACAAATAAATCCAGCTCTGAAAGTGATTTTCAAATCACTTAAATGCACTTAAGTTCATAATTCATTAAGTAAGTAATAAAATTGCAACTGAGTGCCCTTTCGGCGGCGAGAGGTTGGAGCGGGCAAGAGAAGTCCGGCGAGAAGAGCAAGGAAATATTTACAAATGTTTCAAACAAAAATACACCAACAAGGAAAGTAAACTTACTGATTGCACTTACATGCATGCCTGCATACTTAAGTGCGCATATGTGAGATATTAATAAAATGTATTGAAGTGCTGTCGAGCTACGAAGTGAGTAAGACACCTGCTAGCTTACGTCCGTAAGACGAAGAAAAACTCTTGATGGAAAATCAATTAGAATTTTTCATTAAGTACACTTAAGGCGTCTACTTATGCATGTGAAGGCAGACGGACGTAGCACGTGGACACTTCTGGTCAGCGTTAGACCAAAGCTAAGATGCTGAGCAGAGTTGAGTGATGAGTTTTTGGGAATATTTCAAGTGCCTCTGCACGACGTGTGGCGGCTGAAGTGAGAGTGTGTGTGTGACAGTTATGTGTTTCTGTGCTTGTACCTACGGCATATTGTTAAGTCTGCTGCTCAATTACATTTTCTTAAGTATGCACAAGCATGCCGAGGCTCTCAGCCAGCCAACCAGCCAACCAGCCAGCCAGCTTACGTAGCAGACAGTGCTTGTATTCATTTGCTCTCAGCTCTAATAAATTTAATTATTTCAACAATTTATCAAGGTGACGTGGAAGGAGAGAAAGAGCGGAATATCGAAGGAGGGCGGGCGGCAAGCGGTGTGTTAGGACAAAGGACATGTTGCAGTCAAATTCGAGCTTGAGACGCTTCATGGGTGTAAAAGTGAGGAAAAAAACTTTTATTGTATTTGTATTTATGTATTAATAGATGCTTGTAATTGTGTGTGCTACACTTGCATTACCGTTAGTGACATATTTTTATCGTTTGTGTGTGTTGTTGCTTCACTAACTTCTCATATTTGGCTCAAGAGTATGTGTTGTAAACTTGTCTTGGGTTAGCTTGTTGTTGTTGGCTATATTAGAAAGGCAGCGAGATGGTCGTTCTTGTAATAACGCCAGTTTCGTTCTTGTTATTGGCATTGCCATGTGCTTTCGCTCTGTTTAGCAGCTCAACACTGCTTGCCATAACAAATTCCTTCTGGCAAAATTTTCCAAGGCAATGATTTAACAACTTTGTAGCAGCATCTTAGGCGCATTTCCGTCGTCCACACAGACTCGTACAAACATCAAAAGAAATGTATGAAGAATGGATTTCAAGCGAATTAAAAAATTGCAGTTGTCTTTAGAGATGGAAGTTTGTGATAAATTCAAAATTTTTGGAAAATATTTTCGAGAAAAATAAAATATTTAATTGTGCGCCTCACTGTGTTTTGATAAATCTTTTGGGCAGATACCAAAAGTTGAAGAGAAAGGATGGACATATTTGTGGACAGAAAAAGGAAGAGGCCAACAGTGGAGATGCTAAGAACGGTGATTCGGTGAACATTGTCCAGAGTAAACTGAGTTTATGATGGGAGCATTTCTTCAGCCTTGTGAATTGAAGAAAGAGCAAAGCCGATGAACTCTTGGCGGAACTATTCAAATAAGGTAACAAAGTGCTTAAATTATCTTTCCTATAAAATATTGCCTGATAAATGTTGGCCGAGCAAAAAGAATTGAAGTGTACTCTACCCAATCTCCAAAATAAAAAAAAAGAATTATCAAGCCACGTAAATAGCTTATGTAAAATCTTATCTAGAGTAATTTGTGAATCACAAGTCCCGCTTCCCCCCAAGCACAGGAACTTGACGCAGACCCTGCAAAACCAGCTTGTCCTAGCCTTCTCAAGGGGTAATTTTTTTCCGTCTCTGGAGGCTTTTCAGGGGGTTTCTTTTCGAGACGCTTACTGGAAACCAATCGGAGCGCTCCCCTTGTTTTTCAAAACGGCAAAAGGCGGTCACGCGTCCAGTGAGTATAGCCTTGCCAGAAATTGCTCACCATAAGTTCTCGAGTCAGAACCAAAAATTGGATTCAGCCTGAGAGAATCAAAGTCTGAATGGGTTTTGACATGTCTTCGATGCTTCTTTGTTGTTGCGAAATTTAAACTTTGATTTTGTACTTCCCACCAAGAAGTTATGCAAAGAACGTCTTGTTGAACAAATTTACATAAATTCTCCATATAATGTATCTCTCTATGTATGCATGCGTGTTTGTATGTGAGTATGTCTGTAACTGGCGCGAGGTTAAATCAATTTAAACTTACTTCAATATGCGATTTTCCGTGCATTTTTATTTTTAATTTCGCACTTTTGAATTTCAGTGGCAGAGTTGGTGCGATGAAGGCGCCGGAGAGGGCGCTAGGGACAGAGGGAGAAAGAGGGGGATCTTGGTTGTTAAGAGCAGCGAAGTCGCATTGCTTGCAATTCATATGCAAAAGGCAATAAGCGTATAAATGCCGCAGCGCAAGCGTTGCTGTCACGTAAGTCACGAAGGCACACACACACCTACACAAAGCAACATATACGTAAAGAAATATGCATAGGGAGTGCAACATATTAATAAAATTGTAATGTGGCACGCACTTTGAGGTTAACACACACACACACACACACACACACACACTCACACACACACACACACACACACACACACTCATACATCAGTACTTAGAGCTGCCAATAGTTGGGACGACGGCAGTGGATTCTCCCACTAAAGTATGCGTTGACTCGTCTTGCGTATGTAATTTTTGGTATATGGATTATTGTTACCATTGTTTGTGTTGTTGTTGTTGTTGTTGTTACTGCTATCGACTACTCTACTATGCGCTGGCATCAGTAGTTTCAATTAAAATGCGCGACACGTGAGCGTGCATATATTACCGCAAGCAAAGTGTTGCTACATGAGAGACCAAGAAGAAGAAGAAGAAGCAGCAGCGGCACAAAATATGTGCAACCAGCTAGCGTAAAAAAGAATATTACGAGTGAAAAATATGCGCACAATTTTGAGAATGTCATAAGGCAAAGCTTTGTCTTTTCTTAAGATCTTAAAAAATTTTTTTTTTAATTTTAATATTAAGAAATTTTAGGTATGCAAAATAATGATTTGGCAAGCCAAAATTATTTGGTAAATTTTCCCTTACTTTTTTTCCAGACCTGTTCCAATCTACATTAAAAATTATAGAAAGTTATTTTAAACAAAATGATTCAAGTTTCTTTCTTTATTGCGGTCGCCCCTCCGCAAGGATCGCCAAGCCCTTCGGAGCAGGCGTTTCGCCGAAAATCGCAACAGCGGCTCTAAAGCGCCAATTATATGTACTCGTATAATTACTAATAATTTGCATTTTTCTTGAAAAACTCTTTTTTGAAATCTTCAGTTTTTCAAAATATTGATTTGGTAACGGAAACTTCTGGATATTGGAAACCCAATTTTTTGAAATTTTAGTTTTTCGAAATTTTGATTCGGTAGCCGAAAATGTTCAACTCTTTTTTTAGGTGCTAAAAATATTAGTTATTCTTGGTATAATTTTTACAATTTTTCAAAACCAAACCAAGTTTTTAAAATATTTGATGCCAAGCTAGAATTCTCGATATAAATTCCGGAATTAAATACACAAGATTTTTCTTAATAATTTTCTTATATTTGATTTTTCTCGGATTATCTCACAGAAAAAGTTTGAAAAACTGTGAAATTTGGAATTTTGTGATTTTTTCAAATTTTATTATAAAACAATTTTGAATCAATTTTAATTTGAAGTATACCGTATTCAAGCGACATTAAAGAGAAAAAAAAATGCCAGAATAAAAATAAAAAAAAAAAATATAAAATGCTTTGAATGAATTTTCAAATTGAAGATTTTTGAAAAATGATTTTTGTTTACAACTTTTTTGGTATTACTCTAATTTGATTTTTTAAAGGAGATCCAGCCAACTTTGCTTTCCGGTCTCTCATCTCATGTTTATTAATTTTGCACTCACCACAGCCCCTTTTTCAGCATTAAACACTTTGCTGCCATTGTTGCTTGCCACAAAAGCGGAAATTTCAAAATCGCTGGCAGTTATTGAAATACGAGACAATTTAATATGAAAGCGGAAAACTTCACAATTTGTTTATGTAAATGTCATCATCGTCAGCTGCCAATCGCGTTGCTTCGCTTTGCATGTCATTGAGGTAGGCAACCGGAAATCGCCTGAAATGCGTCATGAGTTTGCATACTAAACTTTGAAATGTGGACTTTATTTATTTTTGCAACAAATGATTGCAATGCAAATAACGCAACAACAATGCTGCGATATTTGTATCTACATACGTACATACATACAAGTGCGAATACATAATGAGATGTGAGGAGTGGTCTACTCATATTTGGTGAGCAGAGAGCAGGGCATGAAGGGCCGAGGCGATAAATTGACCGTTGAGCGGATTAAAATGCTTATTTTGTATGCAAACGAAGTTATTTCCCGCTACGCAGACAAAAGAGGTGACAGCGGCCCTATGACGGTTACAGAAACCGGAAAGTCGCGAGGTGGTGCAGAGAATTTTAATTCAGCACTGAATTTATTTTGCTTTTTTCTGATTTATGTTTTCGATTTGACAATTAAGAACAAAATATGATGGAAAAAAAATATGTGGAACTCATTTTAATTGTAGCGATTTTTTTCGTAAATTAAAAAAAACTGGTTTTGATCCAAATATCTTTTTTTCGTTACAGTTACATGATGTGCTAACCCGGCGCTAATAATCGGAAGAACAGATAAAAACATCCGCGCTCGACCTACCGCCATCGCCGCGTCGCGTCCGCATAAATGTCTGACGAAGTGCCTTCGAGGCGCTTATCGCAAATCTTCGATTCGCTCACCAATCTTCAACAACAGCAAATATTACAAGCGCGTCGTCGCTCCGCTTCCTCCTCATCGCCTTCACCCGCCACCTCGGGTCGCGCTACGCCCTCTACCGGCGCGGTTGCGGGCGTTTCGCAATCATTCGCCTTCCACCAGCAACATTTCAGCAATCATGCGCATGCGTACTATGCGCGCGCCGCGGATGGAAATGCGTATTTGCACACTTTTCCGGCGGCGGCGTCGACGCAGGCGCATCACCTACACCAACATTTGCATCACATGCAATCGGCCCACTATTATGCGCTGCAGCAACAAAACGCACAACAACAACAGCAGCAGTTATATTGCAGCGCACAGCAGCAGCAGCAGCAGCAGATGTCGCTGCCGCCCATGTACGCCTCACAATCGCTGAACACATCGCCTTTACTCACCAAGCGCGCCACCTCGTTTAGCGGTAACATACCGCTGACGCGCCCGCATTGTGAAAATGTCGCTGCCATGCGTATTTCGACGGCGGTATCTGGTGCGGGCGTTGGCAGTGTCTCTCAGTCGACACCAAATAGTCCGCGTTTGATGCCACGTCGCGGGCAACGTCCACCGCCAATTCCTACAAAACCGAGTGCGGCGGCGCTGCAAGCCGCTAGCAGTGGTTCGGTCGGCGGGAGTAGCAGTAGTGGCGCAATCGCCAAGAAGACAGTCTCAGCTGCTGTTAGTGACGCTTCGGATAAGTCAGAGCAGAGCGCAGGTTTGGCAACTGCCGCGGCGACGATCAATTCTGGCTTAGCTGCTTTGGATACGGACGCGCCTTGGCCACATTTTTCTACACTCACCGAACATTTGGACGTGCATCAGGTGAACAACTACGCGCAACCAGTGCCGGAGGTGAGTTGCTTTCTGGGTGCTATTATCTGTATTTGAAATGACGACACTTTACGGAAGTTATAAGTAGAAAAAAGTCAATTAGATTCCTTATTTTAGCCTTGACATCATAGTCCAAGTGAGCTCTACTCGAAATCTGTGTAGGAACGCTGCTCCTAGTTCAGAAAACTCGTTTCTTTTAATTCTTCGAGTTAAATTTTAGGCCCGATCTCAACTGAAAAGACTCGATCTGTAGTTTCGATCAGGTGTCCAAAGTTTCATGCGTTCTTAATAAAAAATGGCAAAATCTGGTAATGATCCTTCCGGAGAACTCTTCATTCTCCTCCATATCTGATTGAACCTTGTAAAATACCCGACTTCATCGTCTTCCCGGTAGTTAAAATCCTTCCAGAATATCCGTTCTACAAATTGTTTGTTCTTTTATTGAACCGAAAACATTTATAAAGACCTCGCCAACGCACGGGCGTGTTCTGATAGAAAATCTACAGATTGTTGTTGATAGATTGCTTGGAAACCCGATTGGCTACCAGTAACAGTGACTAACCCTCTAACTACGGGATTCTGGAGGCTTCAGCATGGCTCCCTGAAGAGCCGCGCTGGTCAAACAAACGAAACAACAGGGGATGAATTCTTTTGGAAAGTCAGGCACACCTAGGGAACGACCAGTTTCCCTACTCCAATATCTAGGGAGCAACAAAAGAAATCTCATGAAAGCTCTATTTAGCTCTTGTTAAGACTCATACCTTAGAGGAACTTATTTTGTTCATTCCATTTCCCTTCTTTCATCTTTCATCTTTACAGATCAACTGGCAAGAACGTTGTCTGGAACTCCAGCTCGAGTTGCATCGCTCAAAAAACCAGGCTGGCCGCATACGGGATATGCTGCGTGAAAAGGTGAGTGCCTATTTTGTTTCATTTTCTAAAAAACTCGAAGAATTGAGCATAGTTGCCTAAAAGTAGACTAGACGAGAAACATTTTGGCTTAACGCAGCGCCAACTACTCAACATGTCTCCAGCTGAAATGAAGCTTGTACGCTGTCATGCATAATGAAAATTAAATGCGCTTTTGGGAATAATTCAAATGAATGTATGTGTCAACACACCGTAGTAGAATATTTAAAAATATTTAAAACGAAAGACAAAAAATTGGTTCGTGCCATTGTGAGTGGCTAAAATATACTGGCGACCTACAGTCGACGACTTTAATTGTGTGAAATGAGAAAGAATGTTTGGTAAATTTTAGCGAAAATGTCCTCAGCACGTCTTAATGTGAGATTTATGTGTGTGTGCGCGTATCTGTGAGTATTTGAGCGCGTCTCGCCCACAGACTCGTCATTTATTACAACATTGGATGGCCAATACCTCGGCTTCCGTTCACATAAATTTTTCTTTTAATAATGTGGACGTACGAACAGAGCTGCTGACAGTTGTCAAAGATGCCTTAATCTTCATAATAGACTCAAAAGCACATACGGGCCACCCGCTCCCACGTGGAAAATAGTCTACTCACAGTCAAAAGCAACTGGCGCTGAGTTAGTAATTTAGCTTTGAAGCAGCGCGGCCATGAGGTTCATTTGACATGAGCACAATGAATCAAAGTTGTACTGAGAAAAATAAAAAGAGCCAACCCAAGATGGCCTTCGCCTTCCCATACCATATATATCTCAGATTTTCTCTAGGGTATTTCGAAGTGAATATTTCTCTCTCGAAAGATTATACTGGATATGATATGGCAGATGTCCTTAACTTTAATCAATCGTCAACCATTATGGTTATTACTTGATGACCTAGACGGGGTAAGGTCGACGAAAAGGGTTCAATTCCGTGTCTCCAAACATACTAGGTGGGCCGGCTGGTGAAATAGCTACAAACATGACAGTACATCATCCTTAGGACCATGATAGGAATTTCACCGCACCGTCAAACATTTGGTTTCCAGACTGTGTCATACTCAATGTATTTCCTGTATGCAATGAGATCCCTAGAACCCGTCGAAGCAGCCGTTTCCTGGATCTCGCGTTAGATGACGTCGTTGGCTCAGGCTAGCCGCCTTTTCCTGAGCGGAGATGAAGAACAGCAATATCAAAAGCCCTCACGGAGCAGGTTTCAAGCTTGGAAGGGGGTTATTCGCTGCCACCTTACTGATTCATTTAAATTGGTTTAATTTTTAATCACTTCCACAAGTATTCACATGACGGTGTCCCTCGCCCTCGCGTTTAACCAACTTTTATTAAAAAATTCATACGTTCTGCGCATCTTAATTCATCGCCAAAATATTAACCTCAATAAAACTGTCACGAAAGACACCAAAAGACAACCCCAATTATTTTTTTATTTCTTCAACCCCCTTTCTTCGGCACGGAGCCCTTGAACTTTTCACTTACTTAGACCTAAACTCGTATTTAAGCCTTTTTTAATAAGTAAATTTCATTACCAAACATGCAAAGGAAATTCCAGAAAAAATTTTGGAAATCAATTAAACCGCATTGTCATGCTCAATGAATGCTAATGAGTGGTGAAGTTTCTGATTGAGCACGATGAAAGGGGTTGGTAATATGCGAAGTTCATTTCGTGATGTGGGCTTATGTAGGTGTATATGCCGTAATATTTTCAGCTGCGTTGAAAATAAAATAAGATATAGGCTGATACTCCCAGGTTAAAAAGCGACAGTAGCAGGATAAAGGGATGGAGGGAGAGGCTGTGTAGATAATATAGTTTAAGTGCGCAGAAAAAGTGGAGAGCGAACGGCAGTGATAGAGATAAAGACCGGCATCTTTGTGAGTCTGAATCCACAACTTCTATTAGGAGATGTCCCTATACAAGATAGAGAACCGAATCTCATACCGGTACCCGAAATTCTTCTTTATAATATTTACTCTCACCCTCTCTTTTGTACTCCCACTAAAACTCAAAACATTTTTGAACTTGCAGGTCCCTCTCTTTTGGCATTGAAAATATTCTACGCACTAGTTTCACCCATTTTTCACTGCAGAGCAAATCCTGCCAAAAATTTTATTACCGTTAAATTTTTATTGTAAGTTACTTGTATATTGGTTCCCTGAGCACCTCCTCTCCTCTGTATGACTCTTACGGTATTTGTGCTATTTTATGCACAATTTTTTTTTAACGGTACTAAACTTGTATTTTATTGCCTTACAAGAATGTTGCAATATGTTTGGCCATAATTTTTGGTGCGAAAAGACTTTATGCAGCTTATTGTTTGTTTTTCCTTTTTGTACATTTGGTTTTGGTGGAATTTGTCTATGCGGCTGCCAAGTCGCCTAAAATGCTGCAATACTTTTAACAATAAAAAGTTTAATATGAAAGGAATGCAGTAAAATGAAATAAAACTAAATAAAAGAAAAAATAAAATATTTAAATTTATTTATAATAAAATGAAACAAAATAAAATAAAAGTATTAAAGTAAAATAAAATAATACCAAATAAACTGAAATTACAATAAAACAAAATGAAAAAAATTTACGCCGATTGAATTTCTGTCACCTGGGCCAATTATCCTCTTTAAGAATTTTTGTTTTGTTTGATATTTTTACTGCATATTTTCAGGCGTAACATTGTGGCCCCAAATCCCTCTATTTGATCAGTTTACAGTGTTGCAGCATTGCATTTTCACTTTTATTGTTATGGCTTCTGCAATTTTCTTTTTGTTATTGTAATGCCACTGAGTATGACCTGCACAAATTGCTCGCTGCATTGGGTGTAAAAAATTGGCTTGTTTAGTCGCTAAAGCTTATTATTGAGGTGGGATTTGTTGGGCTTTAAAAGAAATTATATGTTTTATAATCATTTTGGGGAGGGAATATTATTTTTTCTGTTTGCAGATAACAGGCAAATTTCTGTCAAGGTATTAGATATCCATTTTAGAAGGAACCTAAGCTAATTATTAAGGAAAGTATTTCAGTAAGCTGATGAGAATTACAGGTTAACTCGTCGCTGGTGCAGTAAACTCTACATATTTGAGAGAGTCAATAATTGGGAAGATAATATTCCTCTCTCGAACTCGCTCTTCATATGTTTATCAAAAGATGCTTAAATATTTGAGGAACTACAATCTAATTCAATTCCTTCTTTCCAAGGGTCAGGAAAACCTTATTATAAACTTTACAATCGCAAATAAAAGAACTGTTTTTAATCAAATATCCTTCAATTAAGAGTTCCTACTCGAAAATTCAATAAAAATTTGTTCGTGCAAATAAATAGTTTAAAACAAATTGCCACTTGTAGTTTGCCAAACTTTCAAACTGTTTACGAATTCCAATTTCAGTTTGCATACTTATAGGCTGTTAATAAATTCATTTCCATTTCCATGCCAGTGAATAAAAGGTAAAAAGCTGTATATGAAATATTATTTGTAAGCACGTATAGATGCGGTCTTGCATACATTTGGGCGCATAAAAGGTAATAAATTTTTAAACGATAGCGCAACGCAGTGAAAAAAAATAAAACAATTTCATTGGTGAAGTAAAAATGCAAAGAATAATGTAATCTCAATGGTGGAGTCCTATTTTTTTCCATAACATGATTTAACGAAAAATAATAACATTAAAAAAATATTTCGAAGGCATTATTTTCGTAAAAATATTTAAAAATGTGCATACAATACTGCTTCAGAAAATTCGCCACTCTCCACCAACAACATTTTTGTGCATTTTTCGTTTTTCCGCGCCCTCAATTTCCGCTTTTAAACTGAAAATTTATGGTTACTGTCAATTTTTGGTTTGTTTTCGGTTTCCGATTGTAGGCATATTCATTGGCACACTTTTGTTGTTTAATATGATTTGCTGCACATTTGATTCACATTGGTATTGCAAGAAGCGACAGCGATAAAAGTAACGACTTTTTTCATATATAATACCCAATAAGTCTGAAACGGTTTCAATTAGAAGTTTTAAATTTATAATTTTGATGGAACCGACTACTCAAAACGACCTGAAGTTCTTTAGAAGCTCAATCTTGTTTTGCCCTTTTCCTGAAAATTTATTGGATTTTAAATTTTTTCATATTTAATTAACCGATTACTCGTTATGAATCGTCAATGTACATATGTATTTGTAATGAAATCGACTTGTAAAATATTAAAAAACCGATTACCATATACTCATTTGAAGTAACTTACACTTTTCATTCCAAAAGAAGCGATTACTCGGTGCGAGTTTCCCATATATATTATACATATTTATATATTTCAAATGAAAAAACTTTTTGAAATAATAAAAACATATTCTGAATTTCTTAAAATCCCCAAAAAACTGATTACTCGACACCTATTCGGATTAACCGATTGCTTTAAATACATTTTTCATTTATTTTCGTAATTTCCACTTTAAAAAATCTCAATTTAGGACTTGAAATGCAAATGCACCCTTCAATTGCCTCTCTACAACGCTCAACGCCTATGCATATGCAACAGTTGCTCACGGATTCATATTTTCAACACTTTATAGACATTTGTACATATATGTGTGAGTGTGTGTACATTCCGTTACATCGTACACATACAGTGTGTGCATCGCATGTGTATTTATCATGACATGTTCTATTTAAATAGACACAATGAAAGCGGCGCTGAAGTCATTGCGCCTAGATGCAGGCAATGCCTTGTATGCATAAGGCTGTATGTTAATAGAAAAGCGAAAAGTATGAAAAGTATGTTAGTGTTTGCTTGGCTTTGTTTCAATTCCGCTACGTATGTCTCTTTTGTATAGATATCAGCCGTGATGTATGCCTCAATAGTATCAACTTCCAACAAAACGGTTATCCTGTGTATGACAGTTACACGGAAGGATATGCTGAAGTGATTGAATGGAGTGCAGTATAGACAGAAAGCCATGGAAAATTAGTGGAAATGAGAAGAGATAGTGAGTGAGAAGCG